ACTCAATGTCATTCCACTCCAATTAAAATATACTGTTTTCTAAAAATGTTAAATCTCAAGATTCGTTCAAAGTTAAAAAGTAACTCCCCGGTCAATCGTAGTTCAAAACTAGGTCAAAATTGTAAAAATTCATAATTTAATGTAGAAAATTTTAAATTGAGCAAATTTAGAGTCTAAGTACTCATCTTAAAATCTAGTATATAGAAAAAATATTAAAATTCTAAAAATCACTTTAATTTTTAAATTCAAATTTTGCCCCTTTAATAAATGTATTAAAATAATCTAAATAATTTCAAAATTCAACAATTAACCTAAAATTTCAGAAAAGTTTAATTTATTCATTCAAACTTGTAATTAATCAATTGATTTAAAAATTTATCAATCTTAATTTTCAACCAACTAAATTAACTTAATCAAAACCGGATGTTACTGGGTAATCCGGACTTATGAGGCTATTAAATTAGCTCAAATGAATGTGAAATAAACTTCAGGGGCATAGTGGACTACAAAGGTAGTAGCCAATCTACCTTTAAAATATATTTTAAAATAAACTTTAATACATTAATACTTAAATTCAAACTAAAATTTTCTTTTGACCTTTTAATAAACTTGAAAATTAGATAACTTCAACAAACTACATAGTATAAGATATATTCCAACCACACAGTCTTCTACACACATTTTAGATGATTTGTTAGAATAATCGACTCTATATCTAGGCTAGACAGATGTTTACTTTTCTGCTACTTGTATGCATGATTTTTTATTTTTTGTAGTGTTTACTACATGTTGTTTGCTAGATTAATTGATTGATATGAGTGGTTATTTACTTAATGCAATCTTTAAATTGATGTGATGGACATTAGTTTACTTTCAGGTTATAAACGATCTATTTGCTTGTAGAGTTTTTTATAGGTGATTACGCTCATATAGGGGCAAATTCAAAAGCTTTTAAATTAACATGTTTTATGTAGGTGCGACTCCTTTGAGATCAAAAGAGCGTGGTCAAGTGTGTTTATTTATTTTATTTAATGCATTTATATAAACTGCTTGGGATGCTTTGATTTTAATTACTTAAGATATCCTTGCATATAGTATAGTTTTTTGTTTTAAATTTGATGTTATGTAATTCAATCGAGTTATAAAATGTGAAAGTGCGTCTTTGAGTTAGGATATAAGCATCCAACTTGGAGTCCAAAGAGAATAAAACATCCCTTAGAGGAGGGTTTCCTTCCATTTATGCATCCAAAATTAGGATGCTTTTCAATATCAAAATATAAAAGAAAACATCCTTTTAAGGTATAGTGTCTTTTTCATTTGGATATCTGAACATGATAAATCCAAAGAACTCGAAGAAGGATGAGTAAGTGAAGATAGAAGAGTATCTCATTCAAAGTCACTTGACTTTACACCAATCCTAGAATTAGAATCCGGGTTATTATTAATGATATCTGACTACTTTTAATTTCTGTAGACTTTGGGTTCTAAATCAAAAGATAATTGTTAATGAACATTTATTTATTCAAATTAATTTGATTGATTTCGGTTTGATTTACTTTGTTTGCATGTAAGGTTGCCTATTTTTTCTAGTTTCTTCACTTGTATGCCGTTTTTGTTTTAACCTATATACGATCAGAAGCTCGTGAGAGTATGAATAAAAATATTTTATACTTAAAAGTAAAATTAAAATTTTAGGCTCAACATAAAAATTGTAGTGATCTAAGAAGTAAGCCCGAGATCACGGTGAGTTCTCATTTAAGCATATTTTTACATTGTCTTTTTTGTTAGGCATCTCCGCGCCTATAGGTTCTGGCAGGCCATTTGATCTATTAGGGTGTAGTTCTATCAAGAAGACGTTGTGCAATCTCTAGGAAAATATATATTTTAAGCCTTTTTAAAACAGCTACATATAAATTTATGCATTTCATCAAGTCAATTAGCATGTATTGCATTAGAAATCAATTTAAAAGTGTCTAAAATTTCAATTGCATTTTTTTAAGCATTTTCACCTTACATAAGTTAAGGGGTCACTTAGGATCCTCTTTAGATGTCCGTCACAACTCCTTAAAATTTAATTAATATCCTACCACTCTTTTATTAAAGATCGGGCACAATATTTTTAATCTTCTAGGTGGTTAGCTGGCTCCCCAATCTAGGTCAGGGTAAGTTCAGATTTGCAATACATTAACTAAGTTCGGGTCACTATAGTCCAGTACCCAATTTAGACGTAGGTTCTAAGACAGGTATAGGCCTTAAGATCTCAACCTTCGGGAATGCAATCCCAACTTTCTAATAAATCAATAACTTAAATTAAATTTCTATTTACATCAAAATTTAAAGCCCAACACGTAGGATATGCCGAGGTGTTTTTGAAGTGTTTTAGAATCCCAAAACATTTCCTAGTTCCTACCATTCTTCCCTTGATATTCAAAATATGTACTCAAACTAGATCCAATTCCATTTGAGAATCAAAATTTATCTCCTTTGATATCACTTATCGAAAATATCTAAAAATAAAATTTCTATCGTTATTCTAATCAAGAGTATTCGTAGAGAATTTAACCTCTCTATGATGTAATTAACTATGAGGACTTAAGCTTGTAGAAAATTTAGAACCCACTTCTACTTTTCAAAATTATTTTTTCAAAACTCAATTATTCTTGTTTGAAAAAAAATTAAAATCAACGATGATCATTATCGTCATATTCAGACGATCGATTAGTAAATCATATTTTCTTCCATTGAGAAGATACATCCTTTATTATCAGGACTCTGAATATGAAACTAATGATCTCTTATCTAGACAATCATAATTAGGTGCTTGATAGAATTTCATGTTGACCCTTTGGGATTACATGTAGTTCTTCCCTGAATCGATTATCATAGCACGAATGAAACTTTCAGCTTCGGTATCTAAAGCCGGCAAGGAATGATATTTTTGCCTTTCAGGGCAATATATCGTTCATAATGACAAGTTTGATTTTGAGACTAAAATTCCAGAAATTAACTTCTTTTCTCAAAGAAGGTTAATATTTTCAAAACCTCTCTTTCAAACACTTTCAAGCGCCAACAAAAAATGACACGGTTGGTGGGGCTAAATTTATCTCTTTATCTTTAATAATGACGTAAATTTTATTGTATTAGTACTTTTGACTACCATTTCTTCTGTTGATCCTTTTATTCATTTCTTTCTTGGGTGAACTTAACCAACATAAAAAAGATATGTCAAAAAAAGAGGTGAGTCATGAAATCTCTATCAAAGTCAGGCTTTGACATTTCGCCCCCAAATTAATTGGTGAAGCGAAAGAGTCAAGTCAAACATTTTAAGATCTTCGTGTAGGTTTTGTAAACCCGTATATTTGAGTAAAACTCAATATGCCGAGTTTCACTTGGGACCATTTTTGTACTATTTTTTAAATTAATTTTTTATCACCAAAAGTTTTAATTTAAAAATTTTCATACTAAAAAACCATTTAAAAATATTTTAAAAAACTATCTCAAATATAGCCTTAATAACCAATTTATCTCTTTTTGGCTTGTTTGCAGCACGAATTGCACTTTAAAAATGATTTGATTGGTATTTATAATTTGATTCTGCCCTAAATTTGTTTTCGGATATCTATTGGAGATTATTAAGCTTGAATGTCAGTTGAAAGGGGCGCTGATTGTGCGGTGCGCCATTTGCTTGATACGAATCCTTAGAAGAAGCTAATGATTAGGTAGGCCAGTAGCATGTGGTTGGCTATTTGTAGTTCCTGTGCTGTGATGTGCAATTTTTTTTTTTTTTTTTTCATTATTTTTTAGAATGGAGTATTCACCTACTGTCAGCCTCGAAAGAACGCATGGCGGCGTGATTAATCCCACTTCGGTTGACTTAGAAAAAGCACCCACCCCAGAAACCTTCAGGCCCGCACTTAATTGAGCCTCACTTAAAAGGAGTTGCCGCTCGAAAGGAACCGAGCATGAGTTGAGAGGTTTCCAACCGTACTCGCCCAGAACTGAGTGAGTAGAGGAGCTTATATTTTTTTCAGAAATTCTTTATACAGATTTCAGTTAACTTCACATTCAATTCCCTGGAAATAATTGGTCCCCCAAAGTTATAACTTAGATTTAACCCTTTAGTACAATTAGCTGGCTCTTATGATTTTTAGGTTTCCTCTCCTTACATGTTGGGTTGTTTTTTCAACCATGTTTACGATGGTAATCAAATAACTTAAAATTAATGCGAGGATTCACTGCTAAGATAGATAAATTATTCTGCGTGGAGGCTGGATGTAAATTTCCGTCTGGAGACTAATCAGGATGCACCATGTCAACGGTATCGAGCAGTAATACTGAGGCTAATTCTGACTGGTCTCCGATGGCCTAAAGCAAGGGGCTTAGAAGTTTCCAAGAAGTTAGTTCATTTAAAAAAAAAAAAAAACAAGAAAAATTATTGAAAGCTATTTTTAATAGAAATCACTTATAAAATTCGGCTAAAAACATTATCAAACACTCCCAAAACAAGCTGGTTCTTATCGAGACAAAAGTGGCAGAGCAATCCTTAAGATGGCCTAAAGCAGACTTGAGGTCGTAAATGGGCACCGCTCCCCATTTGGTTGATATGCTGGCTATTGGGAGGAAGAAAATGATGTATTAGTAAGGAAAATTCAAGTAACATAGAATAAGGTTGAATACGGACAAGATCAACTCCTACTAATAGGAAAACTTCTTTTTTCTGCTAAAAAGCTTTGAGATGTTCTACAAAGGTTTTCAAAAGGGAAAATAGCCTCATCATTAGCAATGGTTCTATGCACATAAGAAAAAAGTTATTACTTGCGGTGTTCGGACGCATCGGAATTGACCTTCAGATGTGTTCGGACACCGCACAGAATAATCTCTCCTATACAAAAGGCCCACTTCGTTTCCAAAACCTGGGCTCCATTGATAGAGGGCTTTGTAACTTTCAATTCAAATAATCATACAACAAGTTTAGAAAGCAAAGTTCAAAAACAAGGAGAGGAGAGCAGAAGCCATTAAAACTGCGAGATGCATCTTCTGTGGCAGGCTCCCAGCCTTTTCTGCTGTCTTGTTTCCTCCTTCCAGAGCTTTCCTATATCCTTCGCAATCCTAGCAGCATCAAATGAAGCACCTGAGAGCCCTTTCTTTGTGAAACCAACGGCGTAGAGCCCAGATTTTCCCTTCCAGCTATTGGGAAATGGCTGCTTTGGTATCCCATCCTTGGAGAAGAAGTCACTTCCCTGTTTACATCAGAAACGCTTCAGTTTAACAGTCTCATTTCAAACGCAAAATGATAGCAAAATATTTGGATTTCTTGCAAACCATTTTGCCGTCCTGTTTTCATTTTGTTTAAGGAAAACTAAACTACCTGCAGCCATGACGGAACGTTGCTGCGGTATCCAGTAGCCAAGATAGCGGAGTCGATTTCTATGATTCGGCCATCAACAAGCTCAACTTTACCATGCAAGAACCTCTTCACGCCAGGAACAATGGTTATTTCACCACTTTTAATCTTCTCAAGCGCACCAGCATCCAAAACAGGGGTCCTTCCAGTGGTATTCTTGAGCTCCAAGGGACCATTACAAGGCTTCCGCAAGCCATACTTCTCTATGTTCCCAAGCACCAGCCATGATAATATGAGTATAATCCGGTCTGCAAGCCACAGCGGCAGCCACTTCATCAGCAAAACCGCCAACTCGAACGTCGACTTCCCACAAACCTCCCTTGGTAAAACATGGACCTTTAGAAGAAGATTATAAAGAAACAAGTGTTCCATCAGTAAACCAATACTCGTTCATCAAAATATGATCTTGGACACAAGTATAGAATACTCACCGAGTTGCGGACTACCATTGAAGGGAACGCATTGTGTTGGCAGAGATCGAGGGAGACCTCCATGCCGGAATTGCCACAGCCGACAACAAGCACACGCTTGCCGGCGTACTCCCGGCCGGACTTGTAGTCACAGACATGAGATATACTGCCGCCGAACTCAGCAAGGCCTTGGAAGTCCGGAACCACTTTCTCAGCGTTCTCGCCGGTGGCGGCCACGAGCCACCGCCCAATGTACTCAATCTCGGCGGTCCGGTCACCGCCAGCGTCTACAGCTCTTACCCGCCACAGCCCGCAGGTCTCGTCGAAGCGCGCGGACAGGACGGTCTGGTTGAAGCGTGGGGAGATATCGAAATACTTGGCGTAGGACTCCAAGTATTCAATGAACTGCCTTCGGGTTGGGTACTCGGGGTAGTCAGCCGGGAAAGGAAGGCGAGGAAGTTGGCAGAATTGCTTGGGGAGATGAAGCTTTAAGCGGTCGTAGGTGCGGCGTTGCCATAGCGAGGCAATGCAGTCTGCGCGCTCCAGGATCACGAAAGGCACGCCCTGTTCCTTAAGGCAGGCAGCGGTGGCCAGACCCGACGGACCCGACCCTATTATGATCGGCCCGTTTACCAACACACATCTGCGAGACGACAAGTCCAAGCCGAAGCTTTCAGTCATTCGAGTCATGGTAGAAGCAGGAAACTGTAAGAAAGTTTAGAGTGATGGAGAAGTTGTGAGACAAAAAGAACGACGAAGAAGTAGAAGAAGGAAATGCTCTGTTGCTGCTGGTTTGCTGCAGAGTGAGGTAGTGGGGGAGGGAGAAGGGGGTTTAAATAGGCACTGTTAGGAAATTTATATATGTGGGGTCATATATTTTATACATATAAATAAATAAACAAAATAGGGATTTTTATGTACATAATACTTAAAATTATTTAAAATACATATTTAACATCTAAATTTCTATATTTACTAATATACCACCTAAAATCTCACTTTCCTTCTATTCTACAACACCATTGAAGCGATGAGATATTTATATTCACTATGAAAGGATGCCATTGACAGGGAAGACAGTCAGTGATAGGGATTTTTATGTTATATATATTAATAAATATAGAAGTTTATGTGTTAAATATGTATTTTCAATAGTTTTTAGTATTATGTATGTAAAAATCCCAACAAAATATTATATAATTGAAGCTATCTAAAATTGAGCCAATTACATTTATATGAAATTAATTATTATGTAGAGATCAAATATTTATTTTATTTTAATGATGAATTGAAATAAAATAAGTACATTTAAAGTATAAAAAGGCTGTGGTCCTCAATTTAAGCAATTAAGTTCTTATTTACTACATTTCTCATCTTGAGTGAAAATAAGGGTTTTTCGCTCTTTTAGAGAACGCCGCTTCAAATATGGAAGATCGAAAACCTCGATTTTGCATTTCAATAGATTCAGATACGCTTCTAATATTTTTCTCGATGATTTGACATGTCTTTCTGAGGCGATAAAATTATGTGGTCTCCCTTGAATCCTAACATGCGAAGGCCGCATGTGATGGGAATTGAAGTTGGTACCTTTGGTTGGGTTGGGTCCTCGTCAAATGATAAGGCTAAAAAACTGTGCAGCCTCTTGCCATTGCTAGAGATCTTCAGTGCTCTCCATGCATTAATTATTTCAACAACATAAGGCTTAGGATTATGTTATTAAGGTAATTGCTAAGTTCACCAGATGGGAAGTTGTTTATTTTGTATTCACATGCTGCTCTTTAGGTGCATTTATTATTCTGTGCGGAATGCGGAGGGCGTCCAAAGATCAATAAAAACGCGTCACATCACCTCATTGTTGGGTATCCAACTCGGTAACTCTAGGTACCGCTGGGTACCCAGTGCTTAACCGGATGGTTCTCCTATCCGGTAAGTATCCGTACAGAATTATAGCTCCTTTAGGTGAGGAACTTGCCATCTGCTATTCGTGAATTAGATCAATCATTTTCTGCGTTGGAGCTATCTTAATTTTGATTGATTCGAGAGTAGATAAGGGTCTTAATTATGACTGATGAGTAGACATTCTTCTTACAAAAGTTAGTTAGAAGTCACTTGTAAGTCTTGATTAGTATCCATGGACTTGTATGTAATTTTAGTTTGAATTGCTTATCATAAATTAAGGTATAGCTGAGTTAATGAAAGATCAAGTTTCTGGTGGAAATAGATGAGTTCTTCTAAGGTAAATTTGTCAATTTCATTTTGGTCATACACAAATCTCAATGTAAATATGAGATTGAGACGTCAAAAATTAAAATCAAGATCATCTAATCTCCAATTTCAGCAAGCTTATATATAGTCAAATTGAGCATCTCAAGGAGATGAACCTAACAACATCAAATTTGATCCAATATGTGCCCATTTGAGTCCAAATCAAATGTCCAAAGTCTATTTGAATGTTTCAGAGCATTTATTGGACTAACAAACAATATATGAATATGACATGCTTATAGTCAAATAGAGCGGCTTGATGAGACGAATCCAATGCGCCAAAGATCAATCAATTCTGACATCTCTAGGGTATCTAAATGCTTGATAAATGCTTCATGATCAAGGGGATCACAATTAGCTATATGACAAACCACTCTCAATATGCCTTTGATCTTCTACATATTTATTACCTATATCACTCCCAAAATATTATAAATAGACCACATTCTTCTCTTGAAAGGGAGAAGGAAAAGAAAAAAGAGAATTGCTCTAAAGCTGATGCTCCACCCCGAACACTACCGTCGACAAAGCTGCGCCACCAAGTTGCCAATGTTGAACATCTGGCTGACCATTGTCGTTGGACCTCTATATGAATGCCACTAATGAGATTTTCTATGACCACCGTCGCCCATCGATTACGTTCCTTCTGACCACCATCATCAGCTGACTACAGTCCTTCGGACTTCAGTCGCCCATCGACTACGATCCTTCTGACCATTCACCCGCTAACTACAGTCCTTTCGACCACCATCTCTCATCGATTACAATCCTACTAATCCAATGAACATACCTACACTCTTAAGAGCACCTGCCAAATTCTTCAAGCTATGCTGGTGAATGTAATCTAACTTAGTAGTCAGTTGAGTATAAAAATATGAATCCTAAATGGAAATTGAGCCCAACGTCAAAAGAATAACTAAACACTTGCCTCCCAAAAGCTGAAAGCAAGCTGTAGTTCTGCCAAAAAAAAAAGATTTACATCAAAAAATTATGTACAATCAAATGTACCACTAATTAATACATTGTTTTATAGTTTAGTTGTTATTTTACTGTTTATTTCCAAATGAAAATTAAGACGTGAGCCTGGCCATTGTATTGCTACTAGAATTAACGTTTCATTCAAGCATATGGATTACTTTAACACTAATTAATTATCTCATATGAAGAAATTAAAGAGGTTATTTTAAACCTAAAGAAAAAATTTCGTTGTTAGGTTTGGTTTCACTTCTAAAATTAATCAATCTTATTCAGAAAAAAAAAAAAAACTGGCATATATTTCAGATGTTTAAAAATATATTCTAGAGTTTCTTCCCTATATGATCATCTTCAACTACCATTATGTGCATCCCCAAAAAAATAACCAGTGAATTTGAATGATTACAGACCTAGAAGTCTATGCAATGTTATTAACCAAATTATTTTAGAGTTATGACCAATAAGATTAACTATCCTCTCAACAATATTAGTTCTCTCAATCAAAAAATAACTGGGCCATAATTTAACTACAAAGTTAGAAATGACTACATGTTATGATAGGGTTCAATGGGGCCTTTCTCAAGTTAAAAATTCTTCTTTTTATTTCTAATTGTCGGTTCTTTATGCTTAGTGATGGTAATTTTGTGGGTTTTTTAAAATCTTTGAGAGGCCTTAAATAAGGTGATCCATTGTCTCATTGTTATTATATTATCTCCACTAAATTTCTTTCTATGGGGGTTATTATTATTATTTTTTTTTTTTGGGAAACCCTAATGCCATATTTAGTCTTTGTTATATATTCTTTGTTTATCTTATGCATTGGGGCTTTAAATTGTCCCCTTTTAATATATATAGAGCATCTGATTGTGGGGATTTAGGAAGCTCTCTTCATGCCAGTGGTTTAGTGCCTTATACTGATCATAGACGATAACTAATAATAAAATTATTTCAATTAGTTTAATAAATATATGTACATTATTTTAACAATATTTTCTATATGCAGAAAGAGTATATTGGCCGGGAGCCGAAAACACTGGAGCTGTATACGAGGATTCACCAACATTAGTTATTATTATTTATTTGAAGAACTGTTAGGTGTATTTTGATTATATGCATATGAAAGAACTTGTTTTATGTTTTAAAGATTGTTTAACAAGTTTTACAAGTTGAACTTTATTATTTCATATATTATGTTTTGTGAAGTTAGTGTATTTTATATATGTTCTATTGATTGCGACTAACCGACAGTTTAGCTGCTGGAAACTTCAATACCGGAATGCCTTAATTTGCCACCGATTTTTCTGTTTTAATGACAGTAAAAACCGGCGACTAATCGATGCTTTAGCCACCAGCAATACCAGCGGTTTGACCACTGGAAATACCGCTGGTACAAACCGGCTGTCGCTGACAGTTTTTGTGCCAGAATCTTCCTGCGGTTTTGGGTCCATTAATTTCCTATTATTGTAGATGTCAGAAAATATTACCACCGGAAATATGCCACCGGTTTGCATTCTATACGCGGTTTAAAAACCACCGAAAAACTGCCTGAACAATGATATAAACCATCAAAAATTGCCGCCGGTAATAAATGATTTTCTTGTAGTTGATGACTCTAAATTTAATTTCGAAAGTTTTTAAAATAAATAATGCATCAAAATTCATGATGATAAAATGAATTTTACATGCAGCGCCGTAGTAGCAATCTTTATCTTAGATGTTCATTATTCCTTCAGCTTCAATTTTTGTTTAGCTTGATTTTCTTTGGCTTGCCCACCTTATTCTCCTCAGGCCTTTTTTGCTTCTTAGTGTCCCTCTGTTCTATTAGTTATGGTGTAGTAGGATCTTGGGTGTTGGTTGATCAGATTATTGCAGCTCTCTTTGTATGTTTGCTGCGTAACCAATGTGGTTTTGCCTTTCCCACATTGTTGTTGCTTTCTTGATATTTCCTTTTTTTAATCTATTATTTTCATCTGTCCCCATCTCCTTTCTTTATTTAGTGTGTTGCTTAGTTTCGTGCGATTGTTAGTTTTTTTTTCCACTATGCTTTTGTGCACTTTTCTTTAACTCTACTTAACGTATTTCAGCGCCTTTCTTATTAGTAAAATTTCAGGATTCTTGCATTTTGCATGGCTTCTCATTCATGTAGCTTGTGGCATCATCTACATTCATGATGAGGCTAGCTGGAGCTTCTGATGATTGCTCTTTTGCTTTGTGCATAAAGTTGCTCTTTATCTTAACAGGCTTTCTGTTTCTTTCTTTTTTTCCCTGGCTTTGTAGCATGCTCAATATATGTATATTTTTTTAGGGTTTAGGGCTTAGGCTTCTTTGAGATAATTTTCTTATTATTTATTAAAGCAGTTTTTTAGTACTAATATTTCTTAAACTAAAAAATTTTTAAGAAGCATTAAAACAGCTATTCCAAATAAAGTCTTATTTGACCCACCTTTGCAGCAAGGTGTGTTGATGCTTGATTTATTCATATTATGGAAGGCTCAGCCTTACACACACACACATATATATTTGATTGAATTTCCCCAT